TTTGGAGTGTACTTCTCAATATTGTCCGGAGGGCTAATTAATCTTAGCCTTTCCATTAGCCACATCTGTAAAAAAATTGCAATGCAAATAAATTATTATTACAATACAAAAATATATTTTTTTGATTTCTGTAATTAAAAATATTATTTTTCTACCTGTAATAAAATTGGAGAGCCACGAAAAGGTGCTTTTGGGTTCCTTTTCAATTCATCAAGACTAGTCATAGTCTCTCCAACTATCAATGGCATTGGATTTCTCCCTGATTCAATTTGTTCTAGTACGGTGGTTATAATTGATTGGCCTTCATTATTTTTACCACTACTAAGAAAAAATTGATTAAGCATGCAAAATAAGAAAGCCCTTCTTCTATAAATATGAAAATATTAACAAAGAGGTTTATCAAAATAGTGGCATGCAAATTCTTTCAAATTAACTATGTTGCCATATACTATTTTTGATAGATCCCTTTCTTTTAAATTAAAGAAGCGCTCAAAATCCTTATAATAATATGCATCTACTCGAGGGATTACTATGAGGTCTATTGCAGGTTAAACTAAAATATCACCAAATTCTTCTGGCAAAGGGGTAATTTCATCATACCCTATTCTAAAGAAATGAGTATCAGTATTCCAATATTCTAGAGCGGTATGAATGAAATCTAAGTCAAGATCTACCCCTTTGATGCCATAAATTCCCCCCAAGTGAAACAAATCTAATTCTTTTCTGTCTCTAGCATTAAGAGATCGACACCATTCATGGGTGTATTGGGAGAAAGTTTTGGTGACTAGAGACATGATATTATTTTTTCTAAGGCCAAGAATTATTTTATTCGCTGGAATTATGAAAAGGATTGGCTAGGCAGGGGGCTATTTATGCACAATTTAAGAGTAGTTTTAATCGGGGTAAAATACGGAGACGACGCTAATTGGCGTCACACTCCACAATTGGCGCCAGACGCTAAGGCTTGGCGCCACACGCCAAGTGTAGCGCCTGGCGCTACACCCAATGGCGTGGCGCCAGCTGGCGCCAATTTTCCACGTCATCCGCGCTTTCTAAAACTGCGTTTTTACCTTAATCCGAGTCTGCTAATGACTTTACGAATTTTTTTTATCTTTTTTTCTAAAACATCATTTTATTGTTTTTAATTAATATAACTATTATATTAATTATATTATTCCTTTTTGGATTTTATTTAGATTAATTTCCAAAGTTTATTATAAACACAAGCTTTTATTTGCCATTTCCTTTTTTCATTTTTTCTTTTGGGGGAGAGAGTCGGATACCCTCCATCAATAAAAAAAAATGACGAAATTTTTGCGCAAAATCGTTTGTCACACTTTTCTTGCACACACAAACATGCACATAATAGTATGTATATACAAAATATGTCTAAAAATGAGTTTTAACTAAAAGGCAAAGTTCTATACAAAGTAATAAAAAGCACAAGTACAAATCACCTTGCGCAAGAGCTGATAAAGAAATAAGTCAGTAAACATGCATAATATATGTGGGCAAAATTTGCAAATAAATAAGCTTACTCGAGACTGGTGGCGAGAAATCGACCACTTTACAAAGTGCAGCGGAGGAATCATCTCCTCAATCGACCCGTATGCACAAACTCAACAGCATCGCAAAACCAATTCTGTGAAACCTTACTTGGGGGCTACTTAACGAGAGATAAGAGCTAAAAAATCGTACCGCCACATCCTTAGCCGATACATGAACTGGAGCTAACAACGGCGGTAGCTCCTCTACATAGCATCGCCCAGGGATCGTGTAAGATCACTAAGGGGAACTAGTTCCCTCTGACGTGCTCAAATAACCTCGCAGCACTAGGACACTCAGCCACTCGCTGGGGTTGTTCTATCTTCTTGCAACATATTTTGGGTTCCTTGGTACGCCAGTTAGCCCCTCTAAGCAATTTGACATGATTTTTAGTAATCGGTTTGATTGCATAAAGTGATCGATCTGATGAAAGATCGTCTCACTTAGCTTAAAGCGCCTAAGCATGGGCTCATTAGAAAAAGGCACCGACATATTGGTTCAAAAGCTAAAAAAGCACCGAGTACAGGTTCAAAAGCATAAAAGGCATCGGCATACAGGTTCAAAGCAACGGAAGCGCCGACGTACAGGCGTAGCGGAAGCAAAGTTCAAGCGGGCTTTTAAAGATCAACAAGCGGAGATCTTCGGTAATTTCCTTTGGAAAATTATCGCAAAGAATGAGGATAGCATCAAGCGAGGATATCTTGACGGCATTCCCTAGCTTGCGGAGAGTTGTCACAAACAAATGAAGGTAATTTCAAGCGAAGTTGTCTTCGACCGTGTTCCCGTAGACGTGGAAGATGGTCATAATGCGGAAGAGGATTGTTTCAAGAGAAGCAATCTTCGATAGTATTCCCTTGGACGTGGAATATTATCAATGCGGATGAGGATTGTTTCGAGCGAAGCAATCTTCGATATTATTCCCTTAGACGTGGAATATTGTCAATGCGGATAAGGATTGATTCAAGAGAAGCAATCTTCGATAGTACTCCCTTGAACGTGGAATATTATCAAAGCAGAGAAGGATCGTTTCAGGCGAAGCAGTCTTCTATATTAGAAGCAGTTACAGGCATAGCGGTTTTCAAGCGGGATGGCATTCTCTATCTTGTAGGAGGTCATCAAAACAACAGTAAAGCGGCAGCAATTCGGTTACTTTCAGAGACGTGTGCTCGATGGTGCAAGATACGTGTTTCTTAACTCTTTTATCTGTTTAACTAACGCTAGTTTGCAGGTATCGGCGTTACAAAGAGTGATTTAGGATCGCAGAACGTTCTGAATCATTCTCCGTCCCTATCGATACTTTGACTTTTGTTTTCGAAACTTGCGTTTCTCCAAACTCAGTCAAAGTGGGGGCTTTTGTAGTCACTTATTTGTGTCTCCCCAAAACCTAACCCACTGATGAGTACCTTTCACGTCGAATCATAATCGAATGGAGCGAAAGTGTGGAAAGTTTAGTGTTGCGGAAAGTTTTAATTTCTTTTCTCTTCTCTCTATTTTTGAAAACTTATTTTAAGAAAACAGCCAATCCAGTTTGGTTGGTCCATGATATGGGTCCAATAGTAGTATAGTTGGATAGGGCTTGACAAGAGCTTCCCAACGATATATTATAAGCCCAATTCCGATGAATATTGAGGACGTTATGGCCAATTTATTAAACTGGACCTTGTTTGAGCCTTATATGCGGCCCAATGATCTAGGGGAGGGCCTAATATGATTTATCATTCCTAATGCAATTAGGAGTGGTAAAAGTATTCTAGATTCTTCTATAAGGTTCTTTTCATTCCTAATTCAATTAGCATTGATAAATTGACTTTTGTTGACTTTTCAGAGTTTTAATTAAAATCAAAGAACATTTTTGAGGAAAAGATATGATTTTATCCTCCTGTACGGCAAAATTTATCTGATTTTAGAAAACGCGTCAAAAACAGGGTTTGCGCCAGACGCCAGGCATTGGCGCCTGGCGCTAAGCCTGGCGCCTAGCGCTAAGCCTGGCGCCTAGCGCTAGCATTAGCGCCCGGCGCTAATGTTAGCGCTTGGCGCCAATAAGCTGGCGTTGGCGCCAGCTCTGTTTCATGTGCGCCAATGCTCTGTTTTGATATTTTATCTTTTTGGCTTATTTTCTCTATAAATAACGTATTAAAAACTCCGTTTTCATTCACCTACAACTAGTTTTCATTCGCAATCATCAATTCTCTCATTCTCTTTTAATCATTCATCATCTCCATCTCTCTTTCTTTCTTTTTCTAAACTAGTATTTTACAATACAAAATTCTGCATTCACAAGATTTAGAAACAACTAGCCATATTCGAAATTGCCTTCGCCCTAGACGTGAAAGGTGTAATTTCTGAGGGTTTGGTCCAAAATCTCTCTTTCAATTATTTAATTTAATTGTTGATTATTATTTTCCTTGAAGTTATTAGCGTGTGTATTTTGTTATAAGAAAGAGGTACGAGGCATCAAAGTAAGTACTTTAATGGTTTTTATTGATGTTATGATGTAGAAATCATGTTTATATTGTTATTATGATATTCCTAGTATCATGTCTAGGGTACTTTTAATATTAAATATGATTGTTACGATGCTTCCTATGTTTTTCCTAATATTTTGATTGTTAGTATCATGTTAGGGTTAATGATTTAATTTTTATTGCTTAGTGACATGCTAGGGTTTGTTATTAATCTTGTTAGTATCATGCCTAGGATCTTGATGTTATTATGCTTTAATGTTAATATGATTATTTTAATTATGATTTATGATTATCATGATTATGATTATAATTGTTTATGATGATTATGAATATTATTATTATTATTTTTATGATGATTATTATTATGATTATGATTATTATAATAATTATTATTCTTATTATTATGATTTTTATTTTTTTGATTATATATTATGTTGCGTGATACATTATTTATTGTTATTGCTTGATCACACCTTTTATGCATGTTTAAAGAAAATTCGTACTTGTAATCACGCTTAATAAGATATTAATAATCTTGTTTAGGGTTAATATGATTATAATTCAAGTGATCGCCAATAATAGTTTATTTGTGCATTAATATTCAACCAACATAGATAAACAGGTTTAGGGTTAACCCTATCGATTGTATGTTAATTAGAAAGCGCACATGAATACAATCAGAATAAAGTAGAGGCCTATTATTAGGGCAGGTTCAATCTCTTTTAGGTTGGATTTGTACCTTCATCCCCGAACCCTTATTTGGTTCTAGACCTTATGGAGTTGACGATCTCTTGGATCGTTAAGGGGTGTAACCTTCATCTTGTGAATGGTTTACAAGTTCCTAAAACTTGTTGGCGACTCTTTTGCTCTATCTTCTTCCCTTTTGGACGCCACCGTACTTTAGTGTATGATCACAGTGGGGTTCAAGCCAGGGGTTAACGCTTGAAATATTCCCTACAGTTATGAATTTTTAGAAAACAAGGAGGAGGAGAGTAAGAAACAGAAAGAGAGTTAGGGGAAAGTGAACAAGAAGAAGAACAACAAGAAGAGGAGGAATAATAAGGACAACAAAAAGGGTGATGGTGAATAGATATTTTTATACTATTGCAACATTTTATTGTCATTTTTTAAATTTACATTGTCATTATGATTAATAATATATTATTTCAGAAGAAGAAATGGAGGAGGAGAGCAAGAAAGGGAAAGAAGAGAATGACAATGACAATGAGCATGTGCTTGAGAAGGATCTTGAGAAGGAGCCTGAGAAGGAGCATGAGCTAGAGAAGGAACTAGAGAAGGAGCCTAAGAAGGAGGTTGGGCTACAGAAGGAGCATGAGAAGCAGCTTGGGCTAGAGAAGGAGCCTGATCTAGAGAAGGAACCTGATCAGAAGGAGCTAGAGAAGGAGGCTGAGAAGGAGGCTAAGAAGAAGGTTGAGAAGGAGTCTGAGAAGGAGCCTAAGCTAGAGATTGGGAAGGAACTACAGAAGGAGGCTGAGAAGGAGCCTGAGAGGAAGTCTGAGAAGGAGCCTGAGCTAGAGGTTGGGAAGGAGCTAGAGAAGGAGCCTCAGAAGGAACCTGATCTACAAAATGAGCCTGATCATGAGCAACCATCAATTGATCATGAATTAACTGACCAACCATCAACTGACCAACCAAGTCATGTCATGAACATTGAGTCCACAAGTGATAAGTCAGAACTAGATTAATCATTCATTGATGCGATTGTTAAAATTTTTGGTGTAGACCAGTCTTTGGTTGATGCACCTTTAAGTAGTACGGGCTCGCAGTTTAGTGAAAGCAAGTACCTGGTTGGAAGTCATAAAGCTGATGCTGTTGGTGGTGCTTCTGCATTTGATGTTCCAAAGGGGGAAGGATGTTGAAGGTGTTGTTCATAGGGGGGAAGGTATCCTTGATGTTGAGAACAAGGATGTTCCAAAGGGGGATGCTGATGTTGAAGGTGGTGTTCATAAGGGGGAAGGTGAAGAGAACAAGGATGTTGCAACAACAGAAGAGGAGCTACCCAAATTGTCAGAGGCAAGGCTAGTGAAGGTGTAGCCGATGCAGCAAAGGGGATAGATAGCGTTATCTCGAAGTGCCCTGAGTATTGAAAACCTTCTGCCACCTATGACTCTGAAGATTAATCACAGACTACAAATGTGCAGAATAAGAGGCACCAACTCAGTAGGAAACAGAGGAAGATATTAAAGCCTCTTACCCTACCTATTTTGTATATCAATCAATGGCGGCCAAAGGGTATTCGTCGTTTCAGGGTACCTTTGCGTGATTATTTAGATGAGCACATGTCATTCAGCACAAGAAAGATTAGAAATGATGAGTATGTATAGCCTTGAAAATCTTTATTGTTGATCATCTTAATGTTCAAAATTTTTATTGTTTCCTTTCATTGTGTACATGATGCTTATATTCATGTGATTCGATGCAGGAATGAACCGACATTCTTTAGTTGCGATGGTGACTATGTCAAACTTACTTTATGTGGCCATTTGATACATAATTTTGGGGAGGTAAGTGATCAGGTACAATGCTTAATTCAATTGTTTTCATTTAGATAATTTGTTGTTAGTAACTGTAACTGTAATCATTGACAAGTGTTCCTTCTATAGTATGTCAGGGTTGCGGGACGCGTTTATAAAAAGGTGTGGGAGAGGCAATTCCCCGGTCGTAGCAGGCGATTTATGACTGATCCCGCATTTGCAGTTACCACTTATTCCTTCATTACCTACTTTTGATTTATAGATGTTTGTTTTGTATGCCTAACACACTGACATATTGTATTTTTAGATGTTGGTTTTGCAAGCCCATACCAATACCAAAAAGGTCAAAGAACTGGTGAACCTAGAGGTCATTAAGTTAGTAAAAATTTACACTCTCTACATGTACCCAACTGGGTCAACCAGAATCAATGTGGTATGAGTTTGCAACTATTTATTTGGCTCTAAATGTACTGTATGTACTCTATCAAAGGTCTACTTGTGTGTATGACAAGTCCTTTTGGGTCACAGATATTTGTCCCAGTTCTTCAAGAACACCACTGGTGGTGCGCTGCGTTTTCAATTAACAGACTGGAGGTCCTTATTATTGATTCAATTTTGACTACGAACGCGGCTTCTCGCAGAAAATGCAAATTAGACCACTTGGTGGGAATAAAATGCATATAAACTTATGAATTCTAGTCTGCATCTATTAATTTTAGAAGTAAGTAAGTTAAATAGTACTTCATTTCAGGCTGCAACAATGGATCTTGCATTTCAGAATATGGACAAAGATTGGCGAACATGAACCATTTGTAATTGGCTAAGGACATCCCTCAATATGAAATGTTAGGGAGACTTGTAAGCTTCTATACATGTTCTTTTGCCTTTGCTTACGGGTGTACATACAACTTCTATCTTAATAATCAATAATCATTATAATTGCTAATTTTTATTCCAACCAGAAATAGCTGTGGAATCCATATGCTGATTCCGATTAAGCGCAACGCTGACAAGTTGTTATCAGAGATGGCCGAAGTGAGTTCGACTATGTTTTGCCTTTTAATTTATTTTCAATTCGTAATATTGTTATTGTATCTTCTAATCACAATCCTAATCTTCTAGCTTCCCGATATGACATTTGAGAGGTCCTCGGTTGTGTGTGAAGACCTCTTGTCAGAGTTTAATGAATCGTGGGAAGATGTTATGCAGCTCCTTCAACCTCCTGTCAATTGATTTTCATTTGCTGATCAATGGTGGTTTGGTGTATTTTTTGGGAAGTGAAATTTGGGACTGAACATGGTTGTTTACTATTAATAACTTTAAAACTTTAGCAATTCGGAGTAAACTTTATTGGGGAAATGTGTAAGTAATATAACAACAACCTACAAGAACTATAAGATATGATTTGTTTTGCAATTAATAATGAGGAATGATTTTGTTTTGTTCAGCTAATTAGTATTTGTACATACACAATATACATAGACAATAACAATACACACTAATGACAATACTTGATATATGAATGATAAGGTCTATACAATGAAAGCTGGCCACTTATACAAAGACTTCTTGTAAAAAGAAAGAAAGCTTGGCCCTTATACAAAGACTTCTTGTAAAAAGAAAGAAAGCTTGGCCCCTTATACAATGAAAGTTGGCCCTTATCGGACCTTATACAATGTTGGCCCATATAAAACTGGGCACACTATAATGGATGGGATAGAACTGGGCCTGACATAGCTCACCCTTATATAAAACTGGGCCTTACATAGCTGACCCTTATGTAATAGAGGGACAAGTAGAGGGTTAATAATAATCTTTAATAATAGTAATAATAATAATAATAATAATAATAATAATAATAATAATAATAATAATAAATAAAATAATAAATAATAATAATAAATAATAATAAAAAAAATAATAATAATAAATAATAAGAAAACTATTTCGCATCTATTATCGACCACAAATACGTAAAAACTGTCTTTTTGAAAAGTATCAACACTTGAACATATCCGATATCTAATAATAATAAATCCATCCTAATTTCTTGAACATATTCAATACAAATAATAATATTACAAATAATAATAAGACCAATATCTAATTGTCACTAAAAATAGTATCAATAAAAGTACTCGTAACCATAATATTCATAATTTTTTATTTGTAATGACAATATTAATAATACTAATAATAATAATTATTATTATTATAATTTGGAAAGATTTTGATTTCGTAATGGTCAAAGGGAACTCGTTTTACTGTCATCCTGGAAAATGAACACTGTCAACGCTTGGCAGTGTGATGTTTAGTGTTCCCATGTTTGACAAAAATTCATTGCACCCAATCTAATTTCAGTTGTCATCCGGTGTTATTGGCACCCCCCATGTTGTTATCCTCTTTACTATTTAAGAATAGATTATATCTTTACGTCAACACATTCTCATTCTTAGATTATATCTCTTATCAATCAAGCAAAAAAATGGAGGAGGGCTATGAAGGTATGACATGCACTACCATAACCTACTAGGACCACATGATGAACCATCTGGTAAGAAGTACTTCACTTAATGTTATTATCAAATTATTTGTACTTGCATGTGTTATTTAAGGAATGATTGTAATTGTGCAGGCGCTTCCTGCTGACTAGAGAGATTTCCTTTCTCGCTATTCAAATGGAGTCAGGGTTAAACGTGGGAAGACGGGGCGTGCATGGCATATGACCCTCCTTGGGGCTGACGTTCCTTCTACCCGGTCTGTGTTCTTTGATCGATGAAGGATGGGATACCTTCGTTACGAACAATGCCATCGTGACCGGGGAGATTTTGAAAGTCTACTACACAGGAGAGGGCTTATTTCACGTTCGTATTTTTTCTGCTGAGAACGTGGAAATGGTTCCTACTTCACAAGCCCCATAGTCTTGTTTTGTAATATTTTTTTTTTGTTTTTTAAATATAATGTTTTGTTTTATTTTATTTTATGTTTAATTAATAAATAATAATAATTTTACATTATGTTTTGTTTGATCATTTTGTTTTTAATACTCTGTTTTTGTATGTTTAGTATTGAATTATAACTTCAAACTTCACTTAAAAGAACTATAAATTAACTATAAACTTTTTTTAGTTTATTTAACCTTTGCATGTGAAATTATAATTGAAATTTCTCTAAATCAACATTAATTTAAGTTACGCATATGAATGAATTACATTGAATAATTACATCATGTTAAGTATGAGTACGAGCCATTAATTCTTATTTCTTTACCTTCCTACTAAATCACATTAAGTATTATTTTATTTCATTATTTTCTTTCTAAATCACATTAGGTGCATATCGACATTAAGGTTTATTTGTTCTTCTCTGTCTTAAGTTGTATTCAATTGCTCTAGTCTTATTATTATTACTTTGACAGATGTAACATACATAAACAATAATACTGTTAATATTATTATTAGTAAAAAATTTACATTATATATGGTTAATACAAACGTGATATTATTAATTTTATTATTAATACAAACCATATTAAAAAAAAACATTATATATGGTTATTATTATGAAACATACGTAAAGAATTAATATAAAAATTTTATTATTATTAATATTATTTAGTTCTCGACAGCCGGAGGAGGTAGCCTTTCCACGTTCTCGGCAGAGAAAATGCGAACATGAAATAACCCACCAGCACTATAGTACACCTTCAAAATCTCCCCTACGATGATCGCATTGCCCGTAACGAACGCAACCCATCCCTCGAACAACAACACTGACACTTTTTTCGCTCGGAGGTACGTCAACCCCGAGGAGAGTTACATCCCATGCACGACCCTTCTTACCCCGCTTAACTCTAACTCCATTCGTGTATTTTGATACTAAAAGCCTCCAGTCATCGGGGAGGGCCTGTACAATAAAACAGGGTCATCTAAACACATGCAACTAATATAAATTGACCCTTATATAATTTGTTATATATGTTTATATATGTACAAATGGTTACGACTTACCAAATTGGTCCTCATGCTGTTCTTGTATGTTATGGTAGTGCATAACATACCCTCATACTCATCCATTTTTTAAATTCGATTAGTGGTTATTGATATGATTGAAAGAGAATGAAGAGCATGCAATTACTTAAAAAATAATATTTTTACAAATCAAATGTGTGTGTATTTATATAGGAGTAGAAATAGTAAAATTAGATACAACTTATTGATAAGTGACTTTTATGTCACTTTTAGGGGTGTTTATTGAATACTTTTCAAGCTTATTTTAATAATTAAGCTCATTTTATCCTTTATTTCTATTATTTTGCTTATTCTCGTCTTTTATCTTTTTATTTGAGTATTTTGTAGTTTTTAGTTTAATTTAGATTAACTTAGTTTTATTAATTCCTAGTTTCTCTCTTTTTATTTATTTTTCTTTTAGTTTCTAGTTTGTTTTCTTTATTTTATGTTATTTCATTTAATTTTATTATTTATTTAGTTCTAGCACTTTATTTTACTTTATTTATCTTATTTTATTTTACTTTTTTTGTCTTATTTTATTTTATTTTATTTTATTTTATCTTTTAAAAATCCCCTCGTGTTGTTTTTGGTTGTTGGTGTTTTCGTGTCCTTGGTCGATCGGGTTCAAGGTCTGAGAATTAAGTTAAACAACATGCTCCAAGCTACCACCCACCAATATCACACACCAATCCCCTGCTCCCTGCTCTCCCCTAACAACACCAACACCAACAACAGCCGCACCACCACCAGCACCCACCTATCACAGCCACAACTAAGCTCCCCTGCTCCACCACTTCCACACACAAAACAACAGCCACCAGCACCCACCTATCACGGCCACAAATAAGATCCCCTGCTTCACCACTTCCACATACAAAACAGCAGCCACCAGCTCCACCACTTCCACACACAAAACAACAACCACCAGCTCCACCACTATTGCCCCCTTCACCACACAAAACAGTAGCCACCACTCACCACGACACCAAGCAGCAACCCCGCAACATCCCCCCTATTTAATCCACTTGAACCACCAACACCACCGGAACAACCAATTCCCCTGCTCCCTCACTTCACGCAACAACAACAACCACCCAAATCACCACCAAACCACTCACCAATTAAGCCACGCAACTCACAGCAACCCAAACGCACAGAGCAGCCAAATTCGCGGCCGCGCAGCCCTGTCAGAAAGCGCACAAATGGAGTCCAATACAGTAGCTTTCGCGACCTGTGCGCGACTTCTTTGCGGGCGCGCAAATGTGGGTCAATCATGAGCTTTTCACGTGATTTTACTGAAAATCGGACGACCACGATTCCTTCAATTAATCCAAAGGCCGAGATTTGGTGATGCTAGATGATGATAATGTTGATGACCGGTGATTATGATGATTGTTTGCTGATTGATAATGGTGAAATGAAAGCAGGAATTTTCGGAGAAGAAGAAGAGGAGGGGTCTGACGGGTTTTGGGGGTTTCTTTTTCCATTTCATTTTCTTTTCTTTTATTTTATTTTAGTTTTGTTTTTAAATTTAGTTTTAATTAGTTTTATTTATTTTATTATATTTTGTTTAACTTGTATTATAAATACCCCTTTAGGGTTATTTTCTCACAACTTTCAATCAACATTTTTTTATTTTAGATAGATTAGATTAGTTTAGCCTATATTTTCTATCTCTTAGGGTTAGATTAGGATTTTCTCTCTCTAGTTTAGGAGTAGTGTAGAAAGAGAAAGCTTGGATTTCCATGGAGTTTTTGAGAGGTTGAAGAAGCAACTTTGTAAAACTTCTTCTCATCTATTCAATGAGCATTTTCTAAATTTCTCTCATCTTTATTTCTTTGCTTAATTCTTAGTTTTTGCTTTTTGTTTGTTGATTTGAGTAGATTAATTAGTTTGTTTGTTTGATCTTGTTTTTATTCTTATTTTACCTTGTTTTCCATGTCTTTCTTCATTATGTTAGCTTAGGTCTTGTTCTAGAGAATTGGATGAAGGTTATATTAATGAATTGAATGATTTTTCATTTGATTATCGAACAAAGCGAAAGTGTGAATAGTCTAGTGATGAGGATGTTTTTATTAAAATATCTTTTCTTTCTGTTTTTTGAAATTAATTTTTTTCTTACCCTAGTTTTGAAAAACGTGCATTCCAATTTAGTTTGGTCCATGATATGAGTCCAATAGTGGTGTAGTTGGATAGAGCTTTCCAACGATATTTTATATCCCAATTTCGATGAATAATGAGGAAGTTATGGCCAAAATACTAAAATGGACCCAAATCGGATTTTACCTACAACCCAATTGATCATGTGGAGGGTCCAAATGTTTAATCCTATTTCTAAACTAATTAGGATTAATTAGAACCTTCCATAATTTTCTAAAAGATCTTAATTATCCTTTTTGAAAAGATAAAATCAAAGAATTTGAGTTGAATAAA